AGTGTTTCTGGATGGTAAGAAAGATGTGTTGTTGCTTGGCGACTTCAATGCCAAAATGCGAGACTGGGGGTGCAATAAGGATGACCCTAAGGGGAAAATTCTGAAAAATGTTACTATGAAGGCTGGACTGGTCTGTTTAAATGATGGTAGTCCCACGTTTGCTGTAAATAGGTTGACTCAGGTAGGGTTATCGGTGCTGGATTTATCTTTCTCAAATGTTTCTGGATGTGTTAAGTGGGAGGTTAATCTACGCTATGTTGGGGGGAGCCATCATAGGCCTATTATTGTTGAGGTCGATAATGTTGCAAAAAGGCCCAATTTTCTACAAAAGAAGAAACTTGCTTCTGCGCTTGCTGGATGTGTTGTTATGGGGGGGTTGGATGAGATAGTTGATGAGGTACAAAATGAAATTAAGAAAGCTTCAATTGATTTGAATTCTTTAAAAAGAGCTCCTAAAGCGTGGTGGAATGAGGAGCTAAAAAGGCGTTATAGACTGGTTTTGGCGGCGAGAAAAAAAGCTGCTGTAACGAACAGTGTTCATGATTTTGAAAAACTACGTCAATTGGAGGAGGGGTAGAAGAAGGAGGTGAAAGAGGCCAAAAGTAAGAGCTATAAATATGGAATAGTGCAGCTGAACGAATGCCCGAACTCTGTTGAAGCTTGGAGATTCGTTAATCAAGTGAAGGGTAGTAGGATCTGTTCGAAATGGATCAGTGAGGATAATGGTAGATATCTTAATCATCTGAACAGTCAGGTAGAGCAGCATAGTGGCAATAGTGGTTGGCGAGTCCTAAGAGGCGCTAGTGTGACAAACGATAGTGATGAGGTAGTGAGATTCTTGGTTGAGGATCTTGATGGAGTCTTAAAACGTAAGAAGAAGTCGGCTGGGGGATCTGATAAAATTACTTTTGAGATGATTAATGAAATTCCACATGAAACTAAAGTGTGCTTTGTGAAAGAGTTAGAAAGTTTTTTCAATAATAATAATGTTAAAGAGGAGTGGAGAACAATTAAAATTGTTCCAATTCCTAAAGCTAATAAAAATTTAAGTGACTATAGGAATTTCAGGCCGATTTCCTTACTCTCTGTAGTGGTAAAGTGTATAAATATGTTAGTTAAGAATAGGTTGTATGACTGGATTGAAGGTAAAAGTATTTTACCGCGAAATAGTTTTGCGTATCGCAAGGGGAAGTCGGCATCGATGTGCCTAAATGAATGCTTGCATTGGGCTGGTAGGCTTAAACAGGGTAATAAGAAAGTGTTTATGTGTGTATTGGATATCTCAGATGCGTATAATTGTGTTGACATCTCACTTCTAGGGGATATTTTAGATGGTGTTGGTGTTGAGAGGAAGATTTGCAACTGGGTCATTAATTTCTTTTCTAGGAGAGTTTTGGTTTTGGGTAAGGAAAGGGTTGAGGTTTCCAATGGTCTCCCGCAAGGGAGCTGGTTATCCCCACTGTTATTTAACCTGTACACTGCAAGTTTGCACTGTTTGGGTGATGTAAATACAAACATTTTCCAGTTTGCGGATGATTTCGCGTTGTTGTGTAGTGGGAATAGTTATATTGAGGCTATAAATTGTTTAAATGGTAAGTTGAATGAATTCAATACGATGCTAAATAGCTTAAATCTTAATATAAATGTCAGCAAAACGAAATTTTTATTAATGAATTCCACTAGTAAGAAAGTATTTTCTCTTAGACTGGATGGAGCAGAAGTGCAGCAGGTTAGGAGTATCAAATGGTTGGGTTCGACTATTTGTTCTAATGCTTCAATTAGTCCTCATGTAGATAGAGTAAAGAGTGCTGCTAGTTCAAGTAGAAATCTTATCAAGATCCTTACGACAATAAAAGGTGGTTTGGAACCCAGAGTTGCGATTAACTTCTACAAGGCCTTTGTCAGAAGTAAAGTTGAATTTGCGAACACTACATATGCTAATGCTCCCCGAGGGTTTAATAAGAGGTTGCAAGGTATTTCAAATGATACGCTGAGGAGGTGTCTACCTCCGAGTTCTCCTATTCACGCGAGATATGCACTGGCTGGGGAGCTTCCGCCTCTCAAAAGGGCTGAATGGCTTACTGCCAAGGAGTTAGGTAAACAATGGATTGTGAATGAAGAATTAAGAAAGGATCTGGTTAGTGAGTACCCTGTTAAGTCGGGTTATAGTTTTGTTTATTCCAAATTTAAGAATATTTTTAACAAAATCAATGTTAATGTCTCCTTTTGTAGACATGCTAATTTTAGTGTGGAATTTTCTTCTCTGTAAGTTTGATGAATTGGCGAATTGCTTTTAATGATCCTCAGGAAAAAATGTTTAAGATGTTTAAGTTGGAGGGGAATTTGTCATCTACTTTTGGAGAATTAGTAGCTATTAGACAAGCAGTTTGTTTTTTAATAAAACAAAACATAGATAAGTGGGTTATTATCACGGATAGCTTAGCGGCTGTACGGTTGCTAGGAAGGAGGGTGTCTACAAATTTTATAGTGGCTTCTATTCACAATATGATTGCGAACTCGAACTGCATTAGTGCCAAGTTGGTGTGGGTGCCTAGTCACGTTGGTATTGGGGTGAATGAAAGAGCTGATGAATATGCAAAGGCTGCAGTCAGTGAGGGATTGACGATTAATGTAGATCCTACCTTGGGTGAAGCGTTGTGTAAAATTTTAAGTAATATTTGGACAGAGTGGGAAACAGAATTTAGAGACATCAGCATTACAAAAGGAAGTTTTTTGCTGGCAATAGTTGCGATCCCGTACGAGTCCGGACTAGTCAGAAATAGTCAGAATCAGTCAGATTTTACTGGAAATCGATCCCGTACTCGGTTCTCTGACTATTGAGAGGTCAAAAAAGAGAGTAAATACGGTTCTCTCTCTGTCAGAAGTTACCAGTTTTAGTCCGAGAATTTTTTGCGGGTAAATTCTGGTAAATGTGTCAAACGATCAGCTGTAGTGTGTTTGGCAACCAAATTGTAAACAAAAGAAAAGTGCACTCTGCTAATTCATGCTTCAAAGTATTTATTTACTTGTTTAAGTGGATTCTAATGAATTTGAAAGTATTTTTGGTTATTTACATGTGTGAGCTGAGTGTGTTTACATACAAAATAAGCAAAAATTTACAACCAAAATTTGGAGGTTATGTTAAAGTTGACAGAAGTTACAATTTTTTACTAGAAAGCGATCCCGTACTTTTCAATGTTACTCTCTCGCTCTGAGCGAATTTTTATTTTTTGACAGTTTTACTAGTCCGAGTCCGAGGAATACGGGATTGCACCTAATATTGGTGATATTAAAAAGCGTCCTTGGTTTATAGATAAAAAATGTGATTTAGGTGTTCATGACATCAAACTTATTAACAGGTTGATGATGGGACACACTTATGGCAGAACTTATTTAAGCAAGTTTCAGAGAGGTATTGACGATTTATGCGCAGTGTGTAGAGTCAGAGAAACAAGCGATCACCTTATCTTTCATTGTAAAAAATTTTCAGTCGCTAGAAGCACTTATACCTTTTTTAATAGATGTAATAATTTAAAAGTTTTTTTAATATTTCTAATTTGTCTCTTTTTAGTGAGCTTATACATTTTCTGCATAAGGTAAATCTGGACAAAGTCCTATAAAAAAAAAAAATTTAAATTATATAAAATATATGCTATTTTGAATATTTGGATTTGTCTAGCAATAGACCTTTGTTTAAATTGGAAAAATAAAAATACGAGAAATGTGGTTAACTGAATATATACAATTTTATGTTCTAGTATCTTAGATGACTGATTAATTGAATATACTTAATTTGTTGTTCTACTATCTTATACGACTGTCATGATTTAACTTTTGACCTGTGGATGGTTGTGAATTGCACCTTTTAAGTGCGTAGTATAGTACAAAGTTTAGTAATTAAAAAAAAAAGAATAAAATAAATAAAAACAGAAGATTTTATAGTATTAAGAAAGTTATATATAAGGGAAATAAGAATTAGATTAAAAAAAAAAACTTTGAAAAAAAAGATAAAAGAGGCTTAGACTGATGTAAGTTTTTCTTAATTCAGTAGTGCCGGAATTATTTGAATTGTCTAATTTCATGTTAGGTATGTTGATTAAATTGGTATTCAGTACTTTTTGCAGTGTGTAATTTCCCTGTAGAGTTAATGTTAATTTTGCGTTTTAGTTTTTCTTTTATGTTTGTAAATCACCACTCTTGTTCTTCGGTGGATCTTTTCTTCGTTGGACTCAATTGTGGATCTGCGCTTACGACAAAGACGATGTTTGACAACTTTAAATTATTAGTATAACCTGGCCCCTGAGGTTATAATAATACCTGGCCGTTTTTAAATGTCTGATGACATTGTTAATAAAAAAAAAAAAAAAAATAGGACTAAATACTGATTTTAAAAGTATCGTAGATACTTCTACCCAAGGCACATTAAAAAAAAATGTACCTTGCTTCTACCTAACGAAATACCGTGTGCTCAAGTAATACATAGAAAGTAAGCAAAAGGCTGAAATTGTTGAAGTTATTTTTTGCTTGTACGAAAAAAATTGATTCTAATACGCCTGAGATATAAATTAATGAATAAAGATCAACAAAATATTAAACAATTTGTCAATAAGAGTTGCCGTAGCACATATACATTGTATAGGATTGGTGTGATTTTGTCGTATGTACCATACAATTTATCACATAAGACAACGGGCCGTATGCATAAAACCTAAGCAAATGCCTTTTCTTGCAATTTCAAACCTTTTACTCGATTCAAACAAATTTAACTGAAAGGTATGAAATTTTAAGTAAAAGCTATCGCTTTTTTTATGAATACGGCCCAATATTTTAACAAGGAGTTTGATCAAACTGTATGAAGATTTTGTCGTATGTGAAACTTTTCGTCACATACACCAAAATGTTGACCGAGTCGCTTGCGAACTTGAAAATACGACAAAACTCAAAAAACTTTTACTCAATGTCCCGGAACCCAAATTAGATATCCGAAAACTGATAACACCAATCGAAAGATCTCATTTAAAAAAAAATAACACAAAATGACGCTTACGACAATATTTTACCCAGGCGACGATTTCAGCCTTTTGCTTGCTTTTGTGTGCGTGATTTGTAGTATCCCAGTAGCGAAATGGGTCACCGGTGACATCGTCACTAATGAGGATTTAGTGACATCATCGCACTTGCTGTGAATCCTAAACGACATATAGCTGACAATGACACTGGTCACAATGTCATGCAGGTGTACTCCTATCAAAGACTTATAACAGACAATGTCTTGCAGCGGTCACTTATAAAAAGTCCATTGCAAGATACTGTCGCTTGAATGTCATTAATGATCACTGCATGACCAAGTCAAGCAGATGACATCAATGACGAAATTACCATTTATCTGAAAAAGTCATGAACGACTTTCATACAAACGGAGCGCATAGTAATTTAAGACGAATATTTTCCGTACAAGACTCGTTAAGTGACTAATGCATGACATTCGCTACGGGGATATCATACTGCCGACCAGCATTTAATGTGAAAATGTAACATACGACAAAATCATTTTATAAAAAAGTGGCTGTAAAAGCTGTATGGGTTACTGAAAACTTAAAAAAATGTGGTTTTATACTTTTAATACTATGTACAATCAAGCATTAAAATTTGGCAAAAAACTATTGTACAGCTTTTGAGAAATTATGACTGAATCTTTAACATCGATTTCCCAAAACCTGGCGAAAGTAACATACGACAATATTTTACCCAGGCGAAAAAACAATAACCGAGTCGAAATTTTAGCGAATGCCATGCAATTTTCGACACGACTCGAGTAAAGTAGAGCGGGATGAGTATTGAACGTCATTTTCCATGTTTTGTGTACGCAGATTACGAAAATGAGGCCAGTTTTGGAGTGGCGGTGTATTATATTCTTTAGAAAAAATGTGTATAGCAGCTGCTTCGGAGCTGCGGAACCAATTAGAAATAAGAAACTGATGCCAGGTAAAACTTTGTAACATTGCGTGACATTTACAACTTTGCCACCAAAGCGCCAGGCGCAATTTAAATCCGCAAAATATCGGTTTAAATGCAATAACCGCATTGCAGTATGGAAGAAATGGCACAGCTTGACATTAAAAAAAAAATTGGCTTTATTTATCAACCTCAGTATTATTCTCTGCGGCAGAACTTTTCAATTTGGTTTGAAAACCTTATTAGCTTTTGCGTCAATTGGTGACTCCAGTTCAATGGTGACAGGCCCATCATTTTGAATGTGTACTTGCATGTATGCGCCAAATTTGCCATCTATCCAAAAGTATAAAATTAAATGGTGTATTTACAACTAACAGCTTTAAGAACATTTAACCACCTTTTATTTTCGTCGCATCATAGTCTTTTTCCAACCGTTTTAGAAACGAGTTATATAAGTTTTGCGCAGTGTCGCCTTGCATGGCCAAATGAAAATCAGGTTTATTCCCTTTAAGACGGTGATAGAGTGTGAATTGCGAGACGCACAATATTTCCAGTTGCTCATCTTTGATGCTTTTCTGCCAACGTTTACCTGCTGTATCTTCAAAAAGACGTAAGGCGACGAGCTTGCGGACGCTGCCAGTAATGAAGAGATGTAATTTGGTAGTTTAACCTTATTTGTATCAACCACACCTACAGATATTCCACATCCTTCTCCGTGTCCGAGTGCGTTATACCCACAAGCACGCATAGGCCACGTCCAATCGAGCTAATCAGCTCGTCGCCAACTTAAATGAGATTTTTGTGTTTTAGCTAGCATGATAGATTTTTATTTCATAACTTACCGGTTACCTTTGCGGCAGTTACTCTCTGCACAATGGCCTTCATTTAAACAAATTTGCTCTAAAAATTCCTGTATTTTCTATAATTCTCAAAAGTCTCGGTGCCTAAAAATGGCCCGCAGGTGGATTATGTTTACGTTTTCACAAACTGTGTAATCAGCTGTTGCCACTGATGCCACTGTTCGTTGTTTCCAACCAAACTTGGTTCTTTTTCTTTAATTTTTCTAATTTGGTTGTTTGGTAGTTTATCATCTGGTTTGGTTTTTTTTTTTTTAAATAGAAATTAGCAAATTTTTTCCTTACACAAAGTATTATTGCATACTGAATGCCATAAATGAAAAACCCAATTTTAAATTTTTAATGTAACACACATGCATTTCAATAATTTTTGATTTCCGAAATAGCAACGTTAACTTCTACCAAAACGTAAATTAATGTTGCATTTCCACAAAATTTTAATTAAAAAAACCCGGCCTCAAGCTCCATCAAGGCGAATTTATATAAGGTGGTGTTACTAGCTCAGCTGATTTTGTGTATTTGTTTCGCCGCACAGCTTCTGATATCAAATTGAAAAATTTTGTTTGAATTTCTACACACACCCTTACAGATTTTGACAGTTTATGCCGCCAAAGCAAAAACAAAATACATGTAAATTTTTGTTTTTTTACTCCTGCTATCGCCTTATATTAATTCGCCTTGAGCTCAATAAAGTTGTTGAATTTTTGTTTTTTGTAATAAGTTTTCCCTTTTTGTAATAGAGAGGTGGATAACAAATGTGGTTGTTTTTTCGTCAGATTTTGTTTCGTTATTTTTAAAGGAATGGCATCCGTGGCTGCTGATGTAACATGTTTTATTAGGTTTGTTCGTCGAAAATCCAGCAAGAATTATCCAACACTCAAAATATCAGAGAGTAAGAAAAAATTCTCTCAAATTCTCTCTCATGTTGAGAAACTTGCAAATTTCTGCACGAACGCAAATTTGCAGGAATTTGCAAGTTTCGCTGCCAGCTGGCGTCCACGGTTGCATTTCAAACATAAAAAATTTTTATAGAATTTTTAAAATTCTTTCGGATGGCCAAAAACAGGATATACATGTATATTTCTTGTTGTTCTGACTTTCTTTAACATACATTTCAATTTCTTCATCGTACTAGCTGTCGGGTTTCTTAAATCGACTCTGGTTGCAACTGCATTCCGATTGCGAATACCATTTTTTTCAGCCGAATTAAGTTCAAATCATTGGAATTAACTAAATTAATTATATCAACAATTATTTACTTCCTTTTTTCATAAAAAAATCGCTCGTGTTTATAAATTTTTAAATTTAACGAACTAATTTATTCAAATTATTGTAGACAAAAATGCAACCATGCGCCACAACCACATGTTTTTCGTGTTTGCAAATTCTTGCTGGCAAAATTTTTTCCAGCAAGAATTTGCAACTTCTCTCCAAGAGAACTGTCACTTTGCTCTCACAATTTTTGAGTGTTGGATAATTTTTTGGTCTGCACGAACGCGATTTGGGCAAAAATCGTGATAATTCGTACAAATTCGTACAAATTTTTTGCTCGACGAACAAACCTATTATCAAGAATGATAGAATACAAGATTGCGCCGTCCTGGCCGTTGACATTTGTGTACCACAAGTAAACAAAGAATAGAGCGAAAAGAAGAACGAGTTGAAACTGCCAAAGCAGTTCACTTTACAGCGAAAAACGTGTTTTGTTCGCTGCACCGTGTTTTATTATACGTACTGTACTTGAGTTGTGTTATGCAGAGTTTACACGTATGAGTTTAAGTTCTGTTTAATATCTACATTGGGATGGCCGTTAATATTATGGAGAAAAATAAAAGTATTAGGATTCTCGGTCTCACCCCATAGAAATGTGTGAATAGCCTTAAAACTTAACTATACAATGTTTTGAATCAATCAAAAGAGATTCAGAGGTAGCTCAGAGCGCTTAAAACTTTCCATGTATTTGATATGGAAAAACACAATTTTTCGTAGAAATGGTATAGAATTCGGCATCAGTGCACTTAAGCGGACCCAGGGGCCAATCCTGGTTCTATGAAATTGTGAAGTGAAAATGAAAAATTCAATGTCAGTGAATATTTTATTTCTTCACCTTTTCTTTTCGGCGGCCGCTGTGGCGTAGTAGTAAGCAGTGCGCTCTTCCACTCCGCAGCGCCTGGGTTCAAGCCCTGGTCGAGGCAACATCGCAAAAATATTTTAGAAAAAGGTTTTTTCTTAACAGCGATCACCCCACGGCAGGCAATGACAATGACCGAGTGTATTTCTGCTTGAAAAACAGCATCTCGTAAAAATACAATCGCCGTTCGGAGTCGGCGTAAAACTGTAGGTCCCTCCACGCCAAACACTAACATATGTGTAAGCGCCAATCTATTATTATTATTATTTTTTTTTTCGTAGCAGAGGGAAATGCTTTATGCACTGGCCGGGGGCGCTAGTCTCTATACTACCTTCCCCGAGTGTGGGACTCCCACCGAAGCGTGTTGGGCTACCCACTAAAACCCAAACTCCCACCGCCCACGCAAGCATCTCGCATCTGGCACCGCAATTCTGCATGTCTTCAGATGCAGGAGCGCGCTGCTAGAGCCTTGGGACGGCTCTTTTGTAGGAGCGTTTCATTCGGGTGTCCTCAGTAGACAACCGTCCTCTCGTTTGCAGCGGAGTACGAATTTCACGTATCTCGCAACTGCTTCCCACTTTTCTGCACTGGAGATCATTACCCCAACTATGTTGTTCGGAGTTATGTCCCGTGTCTTTCTTCCAACATTCTGCGCGAAATCAATAAGTGTTCGCAGGTGAAGAATGTGTGGTACACGTTATCTTCGACGTTTCCGCAGTAGTGACAGAACGGTGAGTCCACCCTTCCCATTCTATGAAGATATTCTCGGAAGTAACCATGACCGGTGAGGAATTGCGTCAGGTAGAAATTTACTTCCCCATGCGGTCTGTTCAACCATGTTTGAAGGTCGGCTATCAGATAGTGCGTCCATCGACCTTTTGTGCTTGCATTCCAGTTTTTTTGCCACTGCTGGATCAGTTGCTCGCGCGCCCTTGCCGCGGCAGCTGCTCGACCTATCTCGGCACGGAGATTGTAAATCTCTTTTCACTCGTAAGCAAGTAGCTCAATTGGAATGACGCCAGAAATAACTAGAACCGCGTCCGCGGACACTGTACGGTATGCAGAAGCAATGCGTAGTGCCCCTCTGCGCTGGACCGAAAACATTTGAATCCGGTATTTTTTTACTTTCAATGCGTCGCACAGTGTATTATTTCCATATTCTATAAAATATTAATCACATTATTTTAGATCGCCAAATTTCAAAACAACGTCAAAAATGTTTTTAGAAATGCCTGATAAAGACGAAGCAATAACAACTAAAAATTTTAAATCAAAGTCTAGGGGGGGACGGGGTTCGATTTGGAAAAGTATCAAGCGCGATAATATTTAAACTTGTATATTTGAAACTGAGTCTAAATGTTTAATTTGTCGGTGTTATGTGATTTATGGAGCAATTGCTGGAATACCATTTTGGTCTTATTTTTTTAGGTATGTTCTTTTTAATAAATATACATTTTTGGGATTTTAATAAACTAGGACTGAGTGGGTGTATGAATTAGCCCCCACTGAATTAACCCCCACCGGGCAAAATGACTTAAGCCCCACCAATGTCTCAGTGAATCTTTCCCCACCAAAAATGACAGAATCCCCACAAAAAAAAAAATGAATTAAACCCCACGAAAATGATTTTATCCCCACCAATCGAAGTGAATTAAGCCCCACCAAACTTGGGGGTTAATGCAGTGGGGGCTAATTCATACACCCGGATTTTTATTATATGATTATTTACAAAATTATGGTTTCTCCTTTTACGAAATGTGCACTATTAGT